TTTGGAGTTCTTACCAAATGAACAACTGTGAGAGCACGTCAACACTGACTCCAGCAAATTAGCTGGGTCGTCATGTGCTTGGTCGTCGCAAAACCCATCCAGCCCCATCATGATGATCCTCCTGAACAATCCTGTTCCGGCTCCACTTGGTCGCAGATCCTTAGTCAAGAACCGATGGGTAACGGGAGCTATCGGAAAGCCGTCTACTCCTAGACCGTCTCCGCTACATGGAACAATTACTTCACGAGAGCAGGCGTGGCTTTCGGCCTATTGTTTGCACCGTTGGCCATCCAGGGGTCTACTACGTAGTAGTTGGACTGCAATGTCGATCCAGTTCCCACTCTTGGGCCAAGCTATAGACCTGCGGCTCCGCTCCCGAACCTATAGTGGCCATGGGCGTGGCTAGGTCTCAATCACATCATTGGCTCCGTGTATTCTATGGGGACTGTGGTATTCTATGCTCGCATTAAGAGGAATGTGCTACGATTTACATTGTCGTCCTGCTGGGCGCTGAGCACTCTCAGGCACCAATGATGTTGAGTTGGCCCCATTTGGCTGCATGATCTGGCCATACCTCAGGCTGGTGATGTGATGATAGTCGTGCTAAAAATGAAATTCTCTTCTGCAAAACGCGCAATGCAGAGAGCATTGAGGGTCTGCCTCCTTTTCCGATTTTGCTCATTTAAGATGCATGTGGTGTCAATATGTCTGCTCATTAAAGCACTGTATCCAAAACAGATTTCCCTCTTTCCAGTTTTCAGTCTCTCTTTTCGTTGCTCTCTCTTGGCTTTTGCCTAGTCGCTCATTCCACTTAATGTCAAATCTGTCCATACATTCGTTCATTCATTGATCTGGTGCCTAAACCTGGAGGAGTTCAAACACTTTCATTTTCTAGTTGAACATTGTCTTTCCCTTGTTGTCACTGCAGTTGGCATGAGCCATGTTCAAGTCTGCTTCTGTCAAGTCGGTTTCTGTCCATGAGAGAGAGGTCCCGACAATGTCGGACAGATCTTCTCTCAATTCGGCTACCACGCAAGTTGCCACCACAGAGGAGCATCTGGATCCTCGGGAAGACTGCGCACAGCCCCCTGGCACCCCTAATACACTTGTTCCTGTGCAATCTGAACAAAGCCATGATTTGCAGAAAGAGCCTGTTGCAGACGATGATGACTTTGAAGAAGCTGATGCAGAACAATATACGCGGTTTTCACCCGCACGGAAAATCATCATTGTTTTTGTCCTCTCGTATTGTGCCTTTCTTGCTCCTATCTCCTCAACAGCCATCCTAGCCGCAGTTCCAGAGATATCCAAGACCTTTAAAACGACTGGGGATATAATCAATGCTAGCAATGCACTTTATTTGACGTCCATGGGGGTCGCCTCTCTTGTCTGGGGTCCTCTTAGCCAGGTTTGGGGCCGTCGCCCTGTAAGTTTCACCTCTATGCTTTAGAGTTCTTTGTCTATGACCTTCCACTGACCAGTGTTTGTATTTAGATTTTTGTTGCAAGTGGCGTTCTCTTTTTCATTTTTACGATTGCTACTGCCCTGTCTCCTAACCTCCCTGCCTATTTCGTCTTTCGTATCCTCACTGCTTTCCAAGGGACATCCTTCCTTGTTGTCGGTAGCTCTGCCATTGGAGATGTGTATGAACCTCGCAGCCGAGCATCAGCAATGGTATGGCTTCTATCAGGAAGTATGACCGGGCCTGCGGCTGGCCCTTTCCTCGGAGTATGTCTTGACTCCGTTTCTGATCAGTCATTTAGTAGACAGTGGCTAACTTGAAGACTCAGGGTGTCATCGTGACCTTCCGATCATGGAGGGTAATATTCTGGCTTCTGTCTGCGATGAGCGGGTTTTCCGCCTTGATGCTCATTTTTTTCTTCCCTGAGACGATACACTCTAAAACCGATGGTGATCTGGCCGGGAAGAGTCTTCCCGAGAAGAGCAAGCTACTTTGGCAGCGTGTGTCGCCTGTGCGCGTGATAATCCTTACCTTCTCATACCCTAACATCCTCATTACCGGCTTAGCCGCCGGTGCCCTGGTCTGGAACCAATACGCTCTTTTAACTCCTATTCGTTTTATCCTCAACCCTCGTTTCCACTTAAACAGTCCTATTGAATGCGGTCTCTTTTACCTTGCTCCGGGAGCTGGCTACTTGGCTGGCACCTTTGTCGGTGGTCGTTGGGCCGATTATTTTGTTCGAAAGTACATCAAACGTCGCAACGGCCTCCGCATCCCAGAGGACCGGCTGCGATCTTGCCTAGCATTCGTGTGTGTGGTCGCCCCGGGTTGTATCCTCGTCTATGGCTGGACACTCGACCAGGAAGTCGGCGGTATCCCCGTCCCTGTTATCGCCATGTTCCTACAGGGCGTCGCACAATTATTCTGCTTCCCAAGTATCAATACCTATTGCCTTGACGTGATGCACGATAAGGGCCGTAGTGCTGAGGTCATTGCAGGCAACTACCTTTTCCGGTATGTTTTTGCCGCACTGGGCACCGGTGTCGTCTTACCAGCCACCAAGGCAATGGGTGTGGGATGGTTTAACACAGTCTCGGCTTTGTTTCTGGTTCTTTCTGGGGTATTGGTATGGCTAACAGCTGAATACGGCCCTAAATGGCGCGAAGCCGTCGATTCCAAGTATGAGCAGAAAGAAGCTCAAGAAAAAGAAGCACCTTGTGAGAGTGTCTAGACTTGGTGCTCTGCCGAAAGGAAAAAGAAGCAAAGATATACTTACGGCGTGTTCAATATGTTGGCAAGCATGGTAAAATAGAGGCTGATCTGGGAAAAGTACTTGGGGTTTTGGCGTTTTTTAGACCACATTCTTAATGTGTATAGTTTCATTCTTGTGTTTTATGGTGTAGCGTTTGGCTTTTGTGAATACCCACTTTGTTCCTGTACATTATACTCATAGTCTATATTAGTGTTAGATACGAAGTTTAGAGATGGTTAGATATTTCGTTGACACGGGCAGTAACCTGGTTTCAAACTCTTTCGCGGTGCATGATAATGGTACACGCGCTAAGTATTCGATATGTAGCAACTCTCAATACAGGTAATGATATAATGACCCTAGAACACTCCACTGGTTGCCATATCGTGTTTAGTAATAAAAGAAATATCTTTCCTTGCACTCATTCTTTGGTATTTAGTTAAGCCTCATCTCGCGAAGGCAGCTTTTTCTTCTGCACAAATTTTCGTCCGTCCTGACGACCTTTCTCCACATCCACAAAACTAATCATAATCATGGCAGCAGTACAAATGGCAAAGAGAAATGGAAACCCCATCCAATTGTTCTGTGTATCATTGATGATGGCTTGGATGACATTCGGGCCGATTATCGAGGACTAGATGGACAGTGTTAATACGCTTCGATGGGGCAGCAAATGGCAGACTTACGGCACGGTTGGTGATGCCGAATAGAGCGAAAAACATGTTATCGTATCCTTGGGGCATGAGTTCGCTGATCATAGTTTGGGCGTACTGTTCTGGATTACTATAATTATAACCTCGGAAATTTCGGAAAAGAGACAAACGTACGGCATAGTATGGAGCCTGAAAGAGACCAAAAACAACGTTGTAGAAGTAGAATTCCCACTGTGTGAGCATATCTTGTTAGTAAAGGGCTTGTAGACTTTACGTTAATTTAGTCTGTGTAGTAAATTGACTGACACGATGATGATATCCGATGCGTGTTGTCCACAAACCTAACATACCCCAGAAAGGGATGAACACACTGAAGAAGTTTGTAACGAGAAACATTCGCTTAGTGCTTATCTTGAAGTATTTCTGGATATACCAGAATCCGAAGGTCGAGATAGTTGAGGTTACCGCTTGAGCGATTCCGAGATATGTCAGTTGGAGGAACGAAAAGGATACCTCGTTGTTCTGGATTATGCCAACGAGTGTCCCTGTTAAATGAGACTTCGTTAGCATTGAGCTTGAGCTTCTCGGGTTGACCTGGGGTACACAGCAGTAGCAACCTTACCCGTCGTGTTCAGCCCATCAGCCAGCAAAAAGTACGCAACAAAGTAGAGAAACGTCTGCGGCAGTGACCGAACCTCTCGGAGTGCTACCCATAACTGCTTGAAGCCAATCGTTGCATAACTAGAGCCCTCTGGGACTTGTGGACCAGGCCGCTTCTGCTGGAAAATAAACCACCACACGCCTAGGACGACCCAGTCTGAAGGCTGTTAGCTAAAATTTACGAAGCTAATATGCGCTTAGGTCATCCAGATCGTCCTTACAGGAGTTTGTCAGACACAAAGCAAGATTGTTTGAATAGTCGTTTCCCTGGAGCGGCAGCAAAACGCTCAGATTGAGCGCAAGTGTGAAGAGATAACCAATATTACTGTGCGCAGTGGACACGTTGCTACGTTTCATTAGTACCTACTCAGCAAGGTTGATATAAGATAGGATATCGACCTGATATGGTTTCTCTCCAGCGACTCTATCGTGTCGTACTCCTCCAAGGTGATTTTGTCTTCGCGCAAATCTTCTTCACGGGCCTTGCGGACGTGGGGCATAAAGCGCGCAAGCCGAGGGAAAACTGCTGCATAGAATACCAATGTCGCACCATAAGCAACATATGCGACCACATACATGCCCATCGCTGCAGGCCATTGACTGGGATGCTTGATTGCCATCATACCATACTGCAAAGTCCAACAGACCACGGTGAGGACTAAGAGTAGCCAGCGGCCAAAGGAGCCATAATCTGCAGCACTACCCAACCAAACAAAGATCACCGTCATACAAGTAAAACAAAGCCCATTGGCGATGAGGACGACTGACGAGACGGAGCGAGTGCCGCCGGCCCAAGGAACCACACACGCAGATGACGCTGTGCAAGGTTCATGCGGTACCGTCCCTGGCTGCCAGCCCGCACCGGTCAGGGCCCATTGAAACCTAAAGGGTCTCAATCAGTACAGCTCGTGAGAATCCCGGTCCAGCATGCTTACAGTGCTTGAGAATAAGAGCCAGGACCAACTCCATTATCACCTGAAGGGCAAGGCAATCCAAGTCAGGGAGGACCAGAAGCAAGAGACCTCAACGAGCTCACCATTATAATACAGGTAGTAAGACCATAATTCTTTCCGGGTCGTTGTTGGCTGGTCATAGTCCTCCTCGGCTCTGAAAAGATGGTCAAGCTCATCCCTTGAGGTGGGCCGCTCTTGCTGCGGTACTATATCCTGAACGGTGACATTGGCCTTGCTGGTGGAGTCGGGACTTTCTTCAACAGTTCCGTCGTTGGCAGCACTCAAATCCAGCGAAGAAACGTCTTGACTTCCACTCCGATCGTTGTGAGACATGACGATCGTCCAGCAAGGGATAAAGCGGTCCCTGTCACTCTGTTTCAGAGAGGATGTATGTTGTTATTGAATTGAGAATAGGCGAAAGAACGGGGTAGATTAGTAGAATGAATGGTATGGAGAAAATGGCAAAGATGAGACGACGATAGAGATGGGAAGATAAGAGGTAGACGGTGGTACGTGGTAATCGTGAATCAAGGATGTGTAGTAAATGATAGATTAGGGCACTTTTATCAGAGAAATCATCCGTCGAATCGGATGAATTGATCACTCTTTCCTTTTTTTACCCCGCAATGAAGGAGATAGATGTATCGCTGGCGTTGAGTATACCATTCCTCACTGATGTCAGTGTCGGTGTCGGTGTCGTTGTTTTTATCATTTGTTGACTATTCTCCTTCTAGTTATAAGTTCACGTGAATAAATCCGGGGTTCATGCCTGAACCCAATGTAAGGCAATTTAATCAATCAAACAATCAACCATACTAAACCTTTCCTGGATCCGGGTTTGGATTGAATGGATTGTATGCATTGTATGTATCTTTATTTCTATCGCAACTCTCCCTTCAAGATCCATCCATGTTTCTACCTATAACTATTACCTAACTACTACTAGTCTTCCCTTGAATTCAACTATTATTGGCCCAACTGATGGTCTGATGCTGAGATCTCCCCTCCCCCCGCGTGGGTCTCCTACGGTCCTACCACTCCACTTCAACATTCCTACGCCCATCACCTCCACCACCCGGGTCACCCTTCACCCCTCTTCAACGCTTCATTCTATAGTTGCTGAGATGCAACCCACAGATCTACGTAAAAAAGTCGGCCAGGTACGAACAAGACTTCCTAGCACGGTTTCCAACTAACAACACCAATGTTCAATGAGCTAAGGACCACACTTGTATAGCTTTTCGCGGTCGGCTTTCACGGCCTCACTCCTAGTCTTGAGATCAAAACCTTAATCCACGAATATGGCTTGGGGGGGATTGTTCTTTTCAAGCGAAATATCAGCGATGCAGCCCAGTTGCAAGTAGGCCACTCCATTCATACGATGATACCAAAAAGAAAACAGGGCTAATACTCTTAGTCTCTAATTCATTCTTTACAAGAGGAGGCGAGACTAGCTGGGCATGAGTTCCCCTTGTTTATTGGCATTGACCAAGAGAATGGGTTGGTCACCCGGATTTCACCTCCTATTGCCGCTCAACTCCCTGGCCCTATGGCTCTCGGAGCGACTTATTCCCCAGAGCTTGCTAAGACTGTCGGCGCTGTCACAGGCGAGACGCTGAGATTATTCGGGATAAACATGAACTATGCTCCTGTGTGCGACATCAACTCAGAGCCATTAAACCCAGTGATCGGGGTCCGCAGCTTTGGAGATCACCCTGGATTTGTCGGAAGATTGGCATGCGCTACTGCTCAAGGTCTCCGAGAGCAGAAAGTGGTACCCAGCGTCAAGCACTTCCCAGGACACGGAGATACCGCCGTGGACTCTCATTATGGCCTTCCTGTCATCTCTAAGACAAGAGAACAGCTAGACAAATGTGAATTGAGACCTTTTCGCAGAGCTGTAGCCGAAGGTATTGAGGCAGTAATGACAGCTCACATTTCGCTACCTGCTATTGACGACAGTCAACTCCCTGCTACACTGTCTGCTGAAGCCTTGAATATATTACGGAGGGACATGAGCTATGACGGTATGGTGATCACAGACTGTCTAGAGATGGATGGTATCCGTGCCTCATACGGGACTGAACAGGGGGCGGCCCTCGCTTTAGAGGCAGGCTGTGACAGTATTATGGTCTGTCACACCTATGATGTCCAGGTAGGATCCATCGGCAAGATCTGCGAGGCTGTAGAATCCGGAAAGGTGCCGACTTCGCGCCTGGAGGAAGCTTTTCGCAGAGTAACTGCACTAAAAGCCCGTTTTCTGAGTTGGGACGCAGCTCTCAAGCCACAGAGTCTTGATGGGCTTACATCTCTTAACCAAAAAGGCGCAGAGTTAGCAAAGGAGGCCTATTCTAGATCGGTCACTCTTGTGCGCGATACACAGAGCATTCTTCCCTTGTCTCCTTCATCGAAAATTGCATTTCTCTTCCCAGGTGATAAGACACCGACTGGCGGTGCAGTGGATGGGGAAGGTTTGGGCAGAAAGGGATCCTATAACGCCTCCGTCTATCTCGACATTCTTAGACAATGGAATGGCCAAGCTTTCGAGATTAGGTACGGGCCAGAGGGTCTATCGAGTGAGCAGCTCAGCCTTGTCGAAGCTGCCGATGTGGTCATATTCGCCTCTATCAATGCACGGGAATCAGCATATCAAAGAACGTTGGGCCTTGAACTGCCGCGCCGCAGTCGTTCAATGGTTGCTATGGCACTCTGTAATCCGTATGACTTTCTTGAGGATTCAAGCATTCAGACCTACGTCACCACGTACGAGCCAACATTAGAGGCTTTTACAGTAGCTGTGGAGCATCTCTTTGGGCCGCAGCTAGCAAAGGGGGCTCTACCTGTTGGGCCAGAAAAGCCTGCACCACGTTGGCTCGAAGTGCGACAATATGCAGCTTCAACTGACTTTCCCCAGGTATATGATGTATGGCTCGCAGCTCTGCCCAATTATAAAGTATCTGCAGACAACTTAAATGAAGTGATAACGCCTCCTCCCCATCTTCTTCCTGCCGAATCACACCATCTCGTTGCCAGGACAAGCTGCCCGGAGTCTAAAATCATTGGATTTTGTCTCCTCTTCGTGGTCACTCAGCAAGACACTGTCTGTGTCCAACTTGCAGCATTTGCGGTTGATCCAAAATGGCAGGGTCGGGGAGTAGGGACTGCGTTACTTGCAGAGTGTAAGGCTTGGATGGTGAAAACGTTCAAGCATTCACGGCTAGAGCTGGGAAGTACATTCCCACGTTTCTGGCCTGGACTTCCCATTGACCTGCCGACGGAGGTCCAGGAATTCTTTGTCCATCGGGGATTCCAACTAAACCCTCCAGTCCCACGGTCTGTTGATCTCTATCAAGACATCAAAGAATTTCAAAGTCCAGAGCTGTACGTCACTCGAGCCAAGGAGCGAGGATATACCTTCCGCCCCCTAGAAACTACCGACTACCAAGAATGTATTGTTGGCCAAGAGAAGAACTTCTCGTATAACCAGGTAAGTGATCTAATACTGCTTGTCATCTTTGAGCGTATCATATTGTACTGATACCTATCATAGGCCTGGGTTCAGATGTATCATAAACTTGACCCTAGCAAATACCCGTCTAGCGTAATGACCGCATTTGACCCCAACGGGAAGCAGGTGGGCTGGACGCTAATGCTTTCCCATGAGTCTCCTATGCTCAAGCCGCATTGGGCATTCCCTTCTCTCTGTGGACCCAAAACTGGTCTCATCGGTTGTGTAGGTGTTGACGCAGATTACCGCAAGGAGGGAGTTGGGCTTGCCTTGCTCTGCCATGCGATCGAAGATATGAGGCAGAGAGGAGTTGAGGGGGTTTTTGTTGACTGGGTGAGCCTAGAAGGGTGGTATGAGAAGCTCGGGTTCAAGGTCTGGTGGAGTTGCCGAACGGGGGCAATACAACTCGATGCTTGATAATGATATGAACGAAATCCCTCAGAGATGAAACAAAATTGTCACTGTGGAGCTTACGATGAGTCTTAAGCCCTTATGTGCTGACGACATATCAGTCCCATTGTTATTTCTAGGGATTAACGTGTATAGATGTTCTAAATCGAAGCGGATCCTTCTCTCTAAAATCCAGAGCTGACTCCTCTAGTGGTGTAGTGGTTGGGGCACTTTGCATTACATCCCTGAGATGAGTATGGAGAGCTCACAGACCCGCTTTCTGGAGGCCTGATGTCCCCAGAAGTTCATATCGTGTATACGGTATGATTGTAGTGGAGCATTAGTATGTGAAGTATCGAAGAAACGGTACACTTTCCAACTCCCTGCGATTTGGTTCAATACGAAGTCTCGAAAAGTTCCTCTTTACGGTTGGGGGACCAAACCAGCATAGATTGACGCTCATTATCTCTCAAATGACTACCTGGGTGGAAAACAACCATTCAAGCAATTTTGCATTTCGCATACGCTGATGGAGCTAGTAAAACATGGCGAACGTTAGCCCCATAATCATCCCTAGCCTGGTACATACACGCCATAAGGTCCCATATTAAACCATCGAAAGAATTAGAAAGGCATCCATCAGTAAATCGTCTCGAACTCCTAACCCGGTGAAGCAACAAAGTAGTTCTCTCAATTAAAAGGACATTAGGTCCTGCCTCTTCCTTTAGGTCCGCGTCGCTACGTGGTCGAACTGGTACAAAGGCTCCAGCTTGACATTGCGTCGAAGGATATATCTCTTGACCCAGTATGGGAGTGCTTTCTTGAGCTGGTAGCCGGAGTGCATACGGACAGGGACAGCAAATACGTAGTCCAGCTCCTCCAGGGTGCGCTGCTTAGTCTCCGGGACTAAGAAGAAGATCATGATACATGCTGTAACATTCAAGCCACTGTTCTTATGTTAGGTCTTTGTAGAACAGGGTCCAGAGCAGGACTATTTGAATGACAACTTACGCGTAAAAGGCGAAAGCTCCAGTTGGCGTCATAACCCCTAGCATCCGTGGGAATGTGATGCTGAGCACGGCCGCCCAAAAGAAGTTTGTTGCCACAGCAAAAGACATACCAACCTCTATGTAACAAGATAGAATGTGCGAATTAGCGAATGCTCTCCAAGATCTTTGAGGGTGGGTTTCTCACCTCGATGCGACAGGGGGAAAACCTCGGCAGAGTAAGCAAAAGGGACAGGCCCCTCACCGACTGAATAGAACGCCGCAAACATAAAGACGAAAAGGGAGATACAGGCTAGATGTGCAGTCTGCTCCTGCGGTATGTAAAAGCAAAACCCTGCAGCCAACAGTGTCCAGGCCATTTGCGGGAAGGTAAACAAGAGAAGGGCCCTGCGTCCGTATGTATCGATGGTGAACACAGCCGGAAAGGCGAACAGGAAGTTGATCAGACCAAAGCCCCACGAGGCAAGCAATGCCTCAGTCACATTTGCCCCAGCTTGAGCAAAGATTGTTGAGGAATAGAACGCCACAATATTAATGCCGCACATCTGCTGGGCAAGCATGACTGTCCCTGACGCAAGGGTTGCACGGCGGACACGCGGGATAGTGAACAATTCACCAAGACGCACCAGATAATTGTGCTTACCAACAAGCTCTTCTTCGATCTTGATCTGGGTGTAGATGTAGTACAGGTCTCTGGCGGCCTGCAAATCACTGTTACGCAACTTGCACAGCGACTGGTATGCTTTCCTGACTAACCCCTTCTTGAGATACCAGCGAGGGGATTCAGGGCATAAGAACACCCCAAGAGTCAGAGGAAGAGCTGGAATAAAAGCTGAGCCGAGCTGCAGGCGCCAGGATATAGCACCCGTGTCTTTGATAGCAAGGTTTGCGCAAGTCCCGAGGAAAATTCCAAATGCAGTCCACAATTGCCAGGACATAACCAGGCCGCCACGAATGTTTGCAGGGGTGTTTTCAGCGCAGTATATGGGGATTGTGGCTCCTTTCAGTCCCATCCCAATACCCATCAAGAGGCGAGTGACGAATAACTGAGGCCAGGTTTGAGAGACAGCAGAGCCGATTGGAGTCAGCAAACAGAAAATAGCAGAGATAAAGATGACGCCACGACGGCCCAGGTACTTGTTGAGGGGGTCAGAGATCCAGCAGCCGCCAAACGCAGTTGCGAGGTAAGGCGCACTAGCTTCCATATCAATAGATGAGCAGGTGGAAGGGTGAAACACGTACGAGTTCAGAATACCAACAAGCCACTGGTTTCTGGCCTTGAGTGCACCTTTCTCTGGGATACCAAGGGCATCAGGAAAAGACAAGTTGGCACCTAGTAGCGAAGGAGGTAAATAGACGTTCGACCGTAAGACTATCAAAGATATATACCATTACTTCCCGTCTGGTCCCATCCCCTGAAGAACAATTAGCGATTGCCATAAGTGAACGCAATAGACAATGAGTCGGCAAGGTACATACTGGACGGCAGCCCCAATAGAGCAAAGGCCAATGGTGAAATAGAGCGGCCATGGCTGGCGCCACTTGTGGGTAGTCTCATTAGTAATGACTGTAATTTCGTCATCAGTCATGTTCTCAACGGTCTCAAAACTGTCTGGGTCCCTCGCAATCAGAGCGCCCTTCTTCAGATGATCGAGAATGTCCTGGAGTCCATGCTCATTGGCGAAGTGGTCAACATCTTGAAGGACCTGAGCGGGGGTCAAGTCCGCCAGAGGGTTCTTGATCCTAGAAGGATACATTAGCCTTCATTTGCACAAAAAGGGAGATACTGTGAATTCAGACTGCAAATGACAGATAGCTTACTTGGCAGAGGTGTTCTTGTTGAGATTGATATGCTCAACATGCCCCTTCTCAGAAACGCCATGATCATCGCTGAGGCTGTACAGAACCTGTTAGCAAGGGCTTCTTTAGGGACAGACTATAGATGACAGAGACAACTAACCGTTGCTCCACGTGTGACATCAGATCACCAGGAGGCGTGTCTCCATCCGACTTCACTTTGGAGTCGTCCATGATCACTGAAGCTTACAGAAAGAGACGTATAGAGAACGGTGAATTCAGTCGGTGATTGGGGGGGTTACAGTTTCGATGGCTGAGGTAGAGGAGAGGTAACAGTACTTAGCAGAGGGATGAGGTGGGAATAGGGAGGGAGAAAGAGTTTAAGAAGAAGGGAAAAGTGCGGGGGAGAAGCAGATGAGATGAAAAAAAGAGCAGTGTCATGCGATCTAAAAGGGGAAGGTGTCAGTCATGGAAGCCCTGAGAAATAGGGCTCCAACACAGCAGGTGATGCTTCCCCAGACAGGGTTACCAACAACCATTGCCCAATCAGACCGTGACTGTATTCACCTGGGCACTTAACACTTCTTTCTCTCCGTGGTTCCACTACTGTTTCCCCGTGGGAATCCCCAACCCTGTACTCACTACGAGGTAATCTATCCCCAACACTTTGTCCATGAACAAAGGTAGCTATTACATAGATACTATGTGGTAGTATGGTGCAATGTATCCATATTTCTCTCTCTCGCCTCTTGTTCTGTTTCAACTCAAATACAGTCGCAGAACAATAGAAAACTGGGGAGGGGGTCTCTAGTGAAGCCACTTGATCCAATCCTTTCTAGCAGAAGTACGCTCTACTATACTGTCTATTATTTAAAAGTTCTTTATAGCATGGACAGATACATTCATTCTGTGAGTCTTTTTCGCCCTTCGATATGTTTGTACAATCACGGATGTTTCTAGCCACCCTCGAATCTGACTGCCATTGAGTACCTGAAGCTACTAGTAATTACCAAGGGAATTTTAGTGAGATGGATAGATTATACTAGGTAGTACTATTTAGATGCAAGTCATGCATACCAAGCGTTTCTGGTGGAGCACTAGTAGCCGTTCCTGGAACTCAAAGCACGCCAAGTCCAGTACTATCCTGTCTATGACTTGTGTACAGCGGACTGCCCGCGTTTTGGAAGCAGAGAGCTTCTTACATCGGGTAGTCATAGACAGTGCTAAGGATGTAAGGTAACAAAATGTAGATTATAGGCAGAGGCAGGAGAGGGAAAAGTGACACTGCAATCAACCTTGAAGCCACCTACGTTTCCCAGGAGCTAAACCTGAAGTGTACTAGCGACTGACGATTGGTCACTCCAGTGAGATTGATTTGCTACACTAATCCTGATGTGGAATAGTACAGTCGATTCAACCAGTTCAGTACTCCGAGTTACGATAACAATCATTTGTTGTACTCAAGTTGTACGACCCATATACCATGGGGGAGGATTCTCTCTTTCATTTATATTGTGTTTTCGTTTTTAATCTACCAACTTTTCCCCTCCATGGTCCATGTATACGACAATAACATGATAGGAGTTCTCGGGTGATTATTCCGGGATGACGAGAGAACTTCCATCATCACAACCCACCCAATATCGAGATAATGTCTCCATAATCCACGAGCCATAAATATACTAGCACCAATGGTAAAAGTGTGACCATCCACTTAACGGAGCCAACCATGAAAATCCCAAGGCTCGAAAATCCTGAGAAGCCGGGGTGGATTCACAGCCCGTCAGAATGACCCAACTCGGGGACAATACCGAGGACCAAACCAGATTAATAAAATCTCACATTGTAGGGTAAGGAGTATCAGAGCTGGCTGACATTGCAACATGGGGTTGTTTGGAACAGAAAACCCAAGTAAGATTAGGTTGGCACGGACGCTGAATCCCAATGTTCATACTACCAATACCCTGGAGCAAATTAAACAAAAGTTAATTATTATATCTTTGCAGTGTCCAGCGTTGTGCCGAGGTGTGGATGTGTCTCCTTAACTGGGGATGACGAATAGTGGCAGAAGAAAACTCACAGACAACCACTGCTATTCATTTGATTCGGGACTATAAATATTAAATCATTTGCCAAGGGTCCTACGCTCGCAGTTCATGTTTTAATTCGAGTCGGAGTACTATTCGTGCGGAGCATCACCACATGGGAAAGGATACACTTTGTATATCCTGCTATACGCTCATAGACTTGAGGTCTTCTAATTAATTATATAGCTACATACTAGTAGTTTCTATCAATGAGCTTCCCATAGAGTGGCAAGGCAAATACTGCGGCACTACTACTTTGTACAGTAACCCTAACTCTTTCCAGCAAACGCTCGGGCACTTCCTTGTCACGGGAATAAATTTCCATTTGTCACTCAATAGTATTCATTCTTTAATAACCTGGAGGATTGGGAATGGGATGTCTCGGTTCATGCATAAAGCGATATACTGCTCAAGGTAGTATACTAGCTATATCTCTTGTAGTGCTATGTATTAGTCCTGTTGTTACGGTCGACCTGAAACAGGTGCTCACAAACACAACACAACACTATAGTTTAGAGTTTCACTGAATCTTCACCCGCCGCGTTGACTAGAGTCTTTGTGTTTGTCTACATCAATTAAGTTAATTGGAATGTACTAAAACATTTTCCATAAGAGAAGTGGTCCGCTTTTCACCCTGTGTTTCTGCTTCGTGCCCTTTTTCTGAGGACATAGTCTACAGACTTCAAGGGGCTTATATGCGAAGAGTACTATCATCTGATAGCCCAGGATAATTCACTGAAGCCAGTTTAACCTAGTTAACCGCTACTGGCTAAACCCTATAGTAACCTCGGATTCCGAGAGGATTGATATTCATACAATCTGGCGCATTGGATGGAACGACGTCATCGGGATAGATTAATTCTCCAGGTAGTTATTCTGTCTAGATTTAGTTAGGCTACTGATATGGTGATGCTGGTGCCTTCATTTGGTAATAGCCTTCAGTTTGGGACTGAGCCCAGGCCCGGTCCTACTATATTTCCTTAAAGAGTTAAGGGCACTTCGTAGCCATAAGTCACGTGTGTTAGCCCCAGAGAGAAACAACCGCCACATCCAGTTCCGAGATGCTTGTTTGTAGTTCGACACTGACGTGGCATCGGTCCATATATCCGGAAATATGCCTCCATTGCTTTACTTTACATAGAAATGCATGCGGGTTCTATTCCAGCCACAAAATGGAGTTTTCTCAGTCAAATATACCATCTGCGCAGGATCTCCTGCGTTCCGGGGGCCTATTTGTTCCATTTTCCGAGTTTCCGGTTCAGGCCATCTATGAAACCCCTGGCTGGTTTGAAAAGAAGCTACAGGAAGGGAAGCCGTTCGTGATCCGTGGACTAAACCAGACTGATCGCTGGGACGCATCAACTTTGAACAATGGGTGCTTGGTTACATCTTCTTCCTCGGGAGGTATGTATCCAACAGTTGCATGATAGATATCTCATATAGATTTTCTGACATCTGTTCTCGGGTTTCTCTACTTAGCTATACCAGTAAGGAACTGCCAGACTGGTCGCGATGTTAGGATGCGGCTTCGTGATCTGATACCTACGGACCATAGTCGTGCTGGTCACGTTCGTGAATCGTATGTTAAAAAGGAAATCCGCCATTACATGTCTATGACATGTTTTGTTGACTGCCATAGTAGGCTCTACGCGAAAGACCTTCAATGTCCCGTCGAGTGGATCAGAGCGTTGAAGACTGTCTTGCCTTCTTGTTTAATGCAACTAGGCTCGTTCGACTTGTTCCGAGTATTGCCAAAGGAAATCACACCCGAAGTGTTGATGGCTTACGTTGGAACCCAGTTTTCCTTGTACGTAGGCTGCGGATAAGATGCGAAACTATTGCTCATGATTCATATTTCAGGTCCGGTTTCCATAGATGTTTTAGTGGAACAGTTGCACTGAATCTGATGATTGAGTCTGAAGGTATGCAAACATCCCTCACTGCACCAGTCTTTCTTGGGACTTACCCTGATATAATAAAGAAAGCCGATATGGTTCATTGTGCTTTGGCACCGATCAACGCTCGCAGGAAAAGTATGACGCATTTATGGAAAGGCTTGGAAAGTCGTCCCACACTGATTGGGCTAATATCTCCATCGCGCAAATGGAATCTGCCAATTTCCCAATATACGTCACTCATCAAGAGCCCGGGGACTTGGTGATATTTCCTTCAGCAACTGCTCATCAAATATGGAATGTCAGCCCCATGGTAACAAAGGTGGTCTGGAACATCCTGCATGCATCCTCAATTCCATCATTTTTTGATTATATCCAGCCTGTATATCAAAAGCAATGCTATGCAGATACAGGCCGAGTTCCCTTGATACCAATACATGCACTCCGCGACAGCAGTCACAACCCAGAAGAGGCGAAACTGCTTGTAGATATGCTTCAACAGCTAGTCGATGACGAGGATACTGGGTGTGACTCATCTGTGCCTATTAAACTTGTGGATACACAAGGAGCTGTGGTGGAATGTAACTTTTGCGGATTAACGATATGGAACCGACACTTACACTGCGAGCAATGTGGAGATTTTGACCTCTGTCTAACATGTTACGTATCCGGAAGGAGTTGCAAACATGTTGGTGACTATACTTGGGCTGAGCTATTCCGGAGCGAATATTGCCGAAGTCTCATCAAGTCTACTCGAGATAGATTAGGCGGTTATTCCCCCTCAGACATAGGACGACCAAAGTATGGCTCCCCTAATCACTATTAGACCGGCATGTCTTAGCTTGCCTGTGTGATAGTTTATTCAAGTTTCGATTTCGCTGGGCCAGGGAATATCATTCAGCTAACCTATGTATTAGACGAAAGACTTTGGGCGCCATGGCTCTGGTAGCAGCGGAAGCGCGACGACAACCCTCAGTAAGTCTATATGATGGCTTTATATCAGCCTTTGCAATGGCTCGATAATATTCTAGCTGACAACGCCTAGGAACGCCTCTGCCACCTCTGTCGTGACAGTCACCCTGTCTGGAAGGGAATAACATGCTCTCAATGCTCAGCTTTCTTTTGTTATCGTGGTCTGTATAGGCACTTTGATATTGATCTCCTGAAGTTCCTCAGAAACGAAACCTCGTGGGTTTGTCCGAAATGCTCGCAAATATGCAACTGTCGTTGTTGCCATTTTTCTCGTCCTTACCAAAGCAAGGATAAGCCCGTCCGAGCTCGAATTAAGCCTGTTGATCCACGAGGTCGCATCTCCGGCTTCGTAGACAACGTATTTGACCAGAAGAGAGGCAAGAGAGCAGTCTCTATTACGCAAAGCGCATCTCCACAAAACACTTTGGAGCCTCGGGGACAAAAACGACCTAGGCTGCCAAACGACGATGGTCACGAAAGGTCGCTACACGAAGCTATACATTCCTCCTCTGAGAGTGTTGAGCCCGCTCAGAATAGAAGGTCGGAAATCGTTGCAGATGCCGATGTTCCCCATGGCCTTCCCATGCGTGGTGGGTCGACAAGGTCTTTCAATTCAAAAGGGCAGCTCCGCATCAGTGATCTCGTGGAGGACAGAAGCTCCCCGGACAAAAGTTTGCATCTGAGCCAGCATGGACAAGCTCATACCCCACTCTCTTCCATGCCAAAAAATACCGCATACCGATATGCTCATGGACCTAACAATCACATTGCTAACGCTCCGTATCCCATTGACGAGGAAAACATCCCCTCTCTTGAAAGAAAGCTAGGCACTCTGCGCCAATATGCCGACGGCCTGCTTGAGTTGTCACTGATCGATTCACATGCCAAAGTCCTTGAAAAGATATCCGATCTAGAAGCTCAGATTGAGCAGAAAAGGCGACAGAAGGCCGAGTTGCTTTTCAGTGGCTTGAACCGAGATTTTCCTGACTTGGCAGATATGGCTATGGAAGAGGCACGACGGCGTGGGATATGAGAGAGACACACCGTTTTGTTTCATTATTTTAGCACAATAGGCTGTTGGTCTATGTATTATTGAATTTTTGAATTCCCCCCCCCCCCCTCGTCTCATTTACCAGTCGGATTATTTAATGTTGTGAGATTCATGCGATATATTTATTCTGGCCACTAGACAAATAGAGACGATGTGATGCTATATATAGTCATCCGACAAAGCGAGCCGTGAGTTGTACAAAAATCTACAATGCCTAAAGCGGCGAAAGGACGCCGATTATACTATCTACTACTTTGCAGCATTGTTAGAAAGGAGATCTCTGGAAGGGCGCTCCGTGGGCGAACACTCCGTATGAAACTGGGCTCGATTCTCTTGACGGAAGTCGCACAAAGGAAAACAAAGAGAGACTAAGTCTAAATCCACGGTTACTTGAGTTGTTAGAATATACTACTTGGACTAGTATATTCTTACGCCAAGGCAAGAGGAATGTACGTTGCATGGGGGTTTGTTTAAGCAGAACCGAAACCATGGAAAGCAGCAAAGGCGGAGGAGTTCCCACTGGTGGCCGTCGATCGCCCAGTCCTCCGCATCCCATTCGTTCCTCTCTTTCTCCCCCTTCCACCCTTCTTCTGGCACCGTCACGCTGTACAAGGAAGTTGGCCTTCGGGCATATCAGATATCTTTTTCAGAAGTCGAATCATTACCTTCACTCGATGTTGCTGGCACCTACATTCTTTACGTGCATTTTCAACTTGGTACGCTCAACCTGATCAACTGGTCTATTATATCTGAGCCATTCCCTTCTTCCCCTCCCACCCCCCTCCGCCGAGCTAAGATTGCCTGTGTGAATTGTTCACACAGAAGATAAAGCATAAAGAACGTGCTTTTTCAGATCGCCTGGCTCTTTTGCCAAGTATCTCTCTTATACGCTACCGCACTCTTCAGTTGCAACCTCTGAACTGACTTCTCGCGCTCTCTCCCTTTGGGGTTGTCGGTGTCAGTCAGTCTAAACACACTAGATATTCCTGACCGCCTCCACAACCCACGACGACCGGAAGCTATCTCTTTCGCACCGTCGCACGATCTTCTCTCCTTCGATCACCCTGACCATCCTTCGATCGGCGTGTTTCCTCCCCTGGAAGATACTACGGAGAACATCAGTTTGCTCACATACTTCTCACCGCTCGCCCCATTATGCCGTGCTTCAAGGGTCTCGCCGTGAGTATACACACTCCGGACGGCCCTATTTCCGAGTACTCGATCCAACGCCAATCCCGAGCCTCTCGCATAGCTTGTTACATTCCCGTACCTCCACCGAAGCTACCAGATTCAGCTACCGGAAAACCTGAACAATCCACCTTTGCAGTTTCAATCACATTGCTGAATCCTAGTCAGGATGTGCCCTACTCTACCCCAAAATCAACACCGGAAAACCCCACGCCTAAACCAAAGGTTGTTGGGGGTCTTCCCGGTCAAACGGCAGAGCGAGGCCAATACAGTAGCATGGTGGCACCGTATCAGCCGCTGACAAACTCTCCGAACGAGACGGTCGCAGCTTATATCTACTTCGACGGGCGACAAAAGGAAGAGGTCGCTACTTTGCTCCGGAGAGGCGAGGAGACCTGGGTGAACTCACGATGGGTCAGTGTCCCTGAGTCAGAAGGAGGTGGCCTTGCTGAACGGGAATTCCTCTTCCGTGAGGTAGGGCTGGAGCGCTGGCTCAATGGCTTAGATCTAGAAGGGAAGGACGTGGCCGCGAAGATTGAGCGGAGACGGCAGAAGATGGAAAAGCGTCGTCTAAAGCGTGCGTCGGCCGATGGCAACAGTGACCTGGACATGGACTCCAAGCATGACAAGGGTATCATGCGCTATGGTGACGACGTGAAATCCCCCCTCGAGGACGTTTCGGACGATGACATGTCTTTCTCCGATTCGGACGACGACCCTATTCCAGAGTCTGCAGGGCAGATCAAGGTGGCTCTGTTCCGTGTTCTGGCCTCGGGGGAAGTCAAACGTGGTGAATACTCGCCGCAGTTCGATGCTCATGATGACGACGACGAAGTCCAACAAGACGGGAATGGCGGGACAGATGCAGACGTCGACCATACAACGAGTTTTGCAAAGCCCAAGACCCTCGACCCCAAGACCATCAGCACACAAACGGTTACCGGGATTGACCCTTCCGACAAGCCTTATGCTATTTTCACATTCATGTATAGAGGAGAGCGTAAGTCAATTATTACTTCGAAAGATATCTTTTTTTACTATACTGACCATCTACAGGGCAATTGCAGAAAATGGGCATGTTAAAAGATCCCAAGTCGCAAGAAACTCCTGGCTCAGTAAAGCGCAGATCACTTCAGCCGGACTTCGCTAATATTGGTCCTTTGAAACCCGGTGGCACAGTTGGATTCCTGAACTTCCGGGACAGTACCGAGAACAAGCAGAAGGGAAAGAAGAACAAGGCCGCTGGAGATGACGACATGGACAGTGACGACGATGATGATGATTCGATCTTGGGTAAAGCCGACGATGAAGAAGCTAAGGAGGACGATCAGCATCTGTCACCAGACGATATTAGACGTCAGGGGGAACTGGCCGAGGGCGTTCGCAAGATCAAGGCAAGTAAAACCTAAGGCCTTCGCCTTAAGTTGCGCTAACGGAAATACAGCTCAAACGCCAACACTCGTCAGCATCTCTGGGCACTAGTACCCCCAAAACGGATACCGCGAGCCCCCAGCCGTCAGGAGAGACTCCTGCAGCATCCAGTATCTCCACCACTCCTCCAACTGCACCAGCAGTCCTTGCCGGCATACCCGAGGTCCCCAAGCCTGCGGCCAACAATCTAAACGGAGAATTCGTGGGGAGCCCATTAAAGAAACAAAGAGCTAGTGTATCCCAAGCGGATGAGAACGCCCTGCGACGGAGGATCGAATCAGGGCTATCTCAACCCGTCAGCGGAGCTTTGGATAGTGCCGCTTCAGATGGACCACAAACTGCAGGGGCGAATTCCAGCTCCTTTGGGGCCCATCCTCAACCAGTCTCACAGGATAATGAGGACGAAGAGTTGTGATGAAGTTATCTCGATGAACATATTATTAGTTATATGAACTTACTGGGTTCAACATGTCTCTCAATTGGGGCTCGATCGAGGATTGCCCTCCACGACCCTGTTGGAACGCTAACTTAACAATCTTCGATGGTCTATATCCTAAGTTTTATTTATTTTGTTTTGGCTGGCACACATGCAAACTATGTGAACAACGTTTCATCTCTTTTTGTTGCTGTGTTGGATTGGGGGAAACTCTCAAAAGATTATCTTGATGGCTATGATGGATTGGCGTAAGTGGACCAATTGATAGCCACCTAGTTGGTTTTTCTTTCTTCTTTCTTTCTTTTTCTGCTTGGGGACTTCTATTTTTCTTTACTCTCTCTCTATCTCTCTTTTAACGTCCTAACGATGATAACGACGGCATGGAGACTTTTCTGGATTATGTGCATGAGTTGGAACTACCTTGTGCTGGATGGTCCTAGGGCTCTCGCCTACGAGGATCTAGAATTCTTTACTTGATATTTGAAAAAGGTCTGGGGTATAAGTTAATCGCTATAGAATAAATGGATCACGCGAGGTGCAAACATATGATTGACTTGAATTCGAAGAACTCGGGATCTTACCTGTTTCCTCTATCTTATCGTCCGGGAACTACGTACATAACTTATGAATTAAATTGATTAAATAATTCAAATAATTTCCCCCCGCAACGTCTCAGGGAAACTTCTTCACCCCCCCACCTTTTTTCCCACATCAACCAAAAGACGCAGATGAACACAGGTCTCTGAAGAAGAAAAACTCCTTACCTGATTGCTCTTAGATTTCAAGTGAAGCTATAGCATTTTGCACATACACACCGTCAACATGCCATTGGCACGTTCATCCGATCCACTAGTGTGGATAGACTGCGAAGTACGCAACCTCCTCTTCGACTCTACCACGATTCCCTCCATATATATGTGATACCTAATACACGCTTCAATCACATAAACAGATGACAGGCCTAGATTCCGAAAAGGACCAAATCATCCAAATTTGCTGCTTCATCACGGATGCCAACCTCCAACTCCTCGACCCCCACGGCTTCGAAATCGTCGTCCACGCCTCTAAGGCCACTATGGACAACATGTCACAATGGTGCATCGACACTCACGGTCGTACGGGATTAACAGCCGCCGTCCTCGCCTCCACCGTTACACCTGAATCCGCTGCCTCCGAGTTATTGGCGTACATTCAGCGATATGTGCCGCAGCCTCGCACGGCGCTGTTGGCGGGAAACAGCGTACATGCGGATAAGGCTTTCTTGTCGCGGGGTCCCTATGCGAAGGTCCTGGAGTGGTTGCATTATCGGATTTTAGATGTGAGCACCTTTAAGGAGGCAGCGAGACGATGGGGTGCGGATGAGTTGTTGGCTGCTGTGCCTAGGAAGAAGGAAGTGCATTTGGCGAAGGATGATATTCTGGAAAGCATCGAGGAGATGAAATTCTATAAGGAGAGATTGTTTGGGAGTGAAGGAAAATGAAAGAGGGTTGGTTAGACCGATTTCTAGTTGATCACTGCTGCTATTACGACTGTTGCGGTGTCTGGACACCGACGCTTGGGTAGGTTGTGTTGATTTACTTTACCTGACAGAGCACGTCACCTCTCTAGAAGGCAAGGCTATTGTCTTTCTGGCTGGCATCACCATGGACTATGAAGGGCGATATCAGCCTGTTCCTCGGAACCTCCCGCTGTGACTTGGCTGGGCCTGGGGATTTGCCTAGGATGGGCTGCGACCTTCCCATACATCTTGTATAAATACAGCACCTCGTGCTAGAAATATCGCAGCCAGATCCAATCTTTCTTTCTTCCCTCGTCCTGCTCCAACACATCATTCAAGGAAGAGACCCCTTTTCTACAGCGTCAAGGTGGGGGCCAGAAAGCAGTACCATGAACACCCCCTCCATGTATCCGACAATAACTCGTTTTAATCACCATCGTGATTCACACAATCTTGGAAGTGAAAGCGCAGTCATGGTGACGTGAGGGAGAAGATGGACGTTGACTGCATCCGACAATGGGACATAACAGTAGTCAGCAATGCGCAAAGTCTGTACTAGCCATAGTCACAAGGATAAACAGGCTGCTATTGCTTTCATCCTTGGGCTATATGTTCAGTTCGTCCGGGAGTACTCCCTGCAATCTTAGGACTTGCCGAGGGGTCTAGATTTGAATTCATTCATAAGCAAAGGTGATAAGAGGATGTGTCATGTGTCATGTGTCATCTTCACTCCATTTCTCTGCGATCTTCCTGGGCGCAGTGGCAGAGCCCGTCGATTGGTATGTCGGGGGTCGATGAGTTGTCCGTGTACTTTGGTTCTGACGGCGTTAAGCGGCCCAATCATTCAGGGGCGTCCGTGTCCCAAAGTTTAGAGCTGCAGTTATTAAAATAGCTCCATTGGGACCTGCCCAACAATCAACTAGATTAAGACCTCTAGAAACTGAGGTAAAATCCGAGGGATAATTTAACATTTTCTTCTCTCTTTCATCAAAGTGGGTATTCGTGTAGAAAAGGGGGAGACTCATAATAAATAGAATGTCTTAGAAATTGTTTTCTATAATGGATCTATTTTTAAAATTTAGCTAATTGTTTCTTGACGACTTTTCCGCCTTCTATGGGTGTCGTCGCCGCCGCCTTTGTGCAGGCGGCACTTGGTACCTGAGCCCTTCAAACCACTCATTGATAGCTCATGGACACGCACCCTCCTGTCCAAGATTGTCCCTGCCTGTATTCGCTCTCGCTACCGCTCATTTTTTTTGTTCCGAAGAGACAGGTATTGAATTTCTCCATTGTTCGGGCGAGAGAACTTCACATCATTTCTCTTTGTAATGGTCCATCAAAGAAGGCGCCTTCGACTGCTATCGGAATTGCGATACATGTTTATTCCGTGACAGTCGTGGATTCGTAGGGGTAATGGGCCGTCAAAGGGCTCAAAGCTGAGAGATGTCGCTTTACCCGAGTTTTTCTCTTAATCAAAGGCAAGCATTTCTGCTTCAGATGTCCTTTGTTGACTGGGTTATACATAGGCCATGCTTGACTAAGCCCTTTGTTGAACTACACAGCCTTGCCTCTAGATACAGCACTTGCGATGTTAGCAACTACTACCAGAACTAAATATCTTTGTGATACCCAGCCATACTTCACATTACGTCTAATTAGAACAAATCTACATACACGGAACTTGAATGCCCCGTTTTCCTCTGATCTATTGTATTCAAGCCACACCCACACCCGCTAACTGGAGAAGGCGATTTCAACTTCCTCTTTTGGTCTCAGCTTTTATTCAATCATAACAATCCGACATATTGCTAAACTCCGCAGCAACAGTACTACGCCTACATTTGATACCAATGGATCCGATCAAGCCTGGCTCCATGCCATATCCTTCTTCCCGAGCATCTCGACAAGCGCCTGTGGCCTCCTGCAGCCCACCCATGTCTACCGTTGATGGCTTCATAGAGGAACACTATCGTGTTGGTGGTCCAAATCTTTGTGGGTTTCCTCCTGTGTTTTGCAATCCCATCCGATGTGAAAACCTGCCTATGCGAGCTGTCCTAGCTATCGCAAAGAAATGGAATATACCGGTAATAACTTTTTATCTTGGTGAGTTTAGGCCACGATTCAATCTCGCAAAGGAGTCTGTGTCCACTATACGCCTCAGGGCGCCGAGAGAGTCCAAGGAACGTTGGATGGGTGCTGCCCGAGAGATATACCAGTGCATGTGTGGAAATGGCCTTCATCATTTTGCAATAGAGATCCTGGATCAATCTTTTGACGTTAGTGCCCATATCTGGCCACACGAATCTGGGGGTGAGAATGAAAAGAGTATCTCGAACATAGGAAATTGATACCCGAACTATTCGAGTTGTTGAGACTTCTACAGCTTTCACACTGTACTGTATAGTTAAATGTAGTCAGTGAGCTAATCACCTTCTGTGCACGCACTTGAACCATTTCTCCCCACGCGCGGGGCCTCGATCCCTGGGCAAAAACAAGAGCGGCGTTAAGTGGGGCGGAAGAGGGGCACTGGTTTGGGCCTGAGGTGTACATAGATGAAATCATGCTGATGACGGCAGCGCGAGTGTCAACTCGCATGGTTTTAGTTTGAGTTGGTGCCCCTCCTTTATTTATCTTCCTCTCTCTCTCTCGCGCTCTCTTCTTCCGATCCCTCCCCCAATTGTCGGTGAGCAATCTCAATTCCCTATATAATATCCTCTTATCTTCTTCTCCTTTCTTCTCTCTCTTTTCCTTTCTTCTCCCTCATCACACTATCCTTGTCACCATGTCCGTCCAGACCGTCTCCTTCCAATCCTTTACTGACCAGAAGCCGGGAACGTATGTCTCTATCTATATCTATCCACTTTAAGATTGTGTTATATCATAGAACCGTTGCTAACCTCTATAGCTCCGGTCTTCGTAAGAAGGTCAAGGTCTTCCAGCAGCCCAACTACTCCGAATCTTTCATTACCAGCATCCTCCTCTCCATCCCTGAAGGTGCCAAGGACGCTTTCCTCGTCATTGGTGGCGATGGCCGCTTCTATAACCCCGAAGTCATCCAGAAGATCGCTAAGATCAGTGCCGCCTATGGCGTCAAGAAGCTCCTTGTCGGCCAGGGCGGCATCTTGAGCACCCCTGCTGCCAGTAATCTTATCCGTGTACGGAAGGCCACCGGTGGCATACTGTTGACTGCCAGCCACAACCCCGGTGGTAAGAACAGCATGGAAATCTTTAGATTTCGCAATTGCCCCAGCTAACTCCATGTCTTAGGTCCCAATGCCGACTTTGGTATCAAGTACAACCTGTCCAACGGTGCGCCCGCCCCCGAGACGGTGACCAACAAGATCTACGAAACATCCAAGACCCTCACCTCCTATAACTATGTTGAGATCCCCGAGATTGATCTTTCCAGCATTGGTTCCAAAACCTACGGCCCATTGGAGGTCGAGGTTGTCCACTCGACTACCGACTATGTCAAGATGATGAAGGAGATTTTCGATTTCGACCTGATCAAGGAATTCCTCAATACCCACAAGGACTTCAAGGTTCTGTTTGACGGCATGCACGGTGTCACTGGCCCCTACGGCGTCGATATATTCGTGAACGAGCTGGGTCTGCCCAGCAGCAGCACCATGAACTGTGTCCCTAGCCCCGACTTCAACGGTGGTCACCCTGACCCCAACCTGGTCTACGCCCATGAGCTGGTTGAGGCCGTTGATAAGAACGGTATCCACTTCGGTGCCGCTAGCGATGGTGACGGTGACCGCAACATGATCTACGGTGCTAACACCTTTGTGTCCCCCGGTGACAGCTTGGCCATCATCTCTCACCACGCCAAGCTCATTCCCTATTTCCAGAAGCAGGGTGTTTACGGTTTGGCCCGCTCCATGCCCACCTCCGGTGCTGTCGACCTGGTCGCCAAGGCACAGGGTCTGCAGAGCTACGAGGTGCCCACCGGCTGGAAGTTCTTCTGCAACCTGTTTGACAACAAGAAGATCTCAATCTGCGGAGAGGAGAGCTTCGGTACTGGTAGCAACCACATCCGTGAGAAGGATGGCTTGTGGGCCATCGTCGCATGGCTGAACATCATCGCTGGTGTGGCCAAACAGAAATCGGACCAGACCCCCAGCATTGCTTCCATCCAGAACGACTTCTGGCAGACCTATGGCCGCACTTTCTTCACCCGCTACGACTACGAGAACGTCGACAGCGACGGTGCCAACAAGGTTATTGCTATCCTATCCGACAAGGTTGCCAACAAGGACAGCTTCGTCGGCTCTACTGTGTCCGGCCGCAAGGTCACCGATGTGGGCAACTTCTCCTACACCGATCTGGACGGCAGCGTATCCAGAAACCAGGGTCTGTATGCCAAGTTCGACGATGGCAGCCGCATCGTCGTTCGTCTGTCCGGCACGGGAAGCAGCGGTGCCACGATCCGTCTGTACATTGAGAAGTACGAGAGCGACAAGAGCAAGTTCGGCCTCACTGCATCCGAGTACTTGAAGGACAACGTTGCTCTTGCCCTCTCTCTACTCAACTTCAAGGAGTTCATCGGCCGCGAGGAGCCTGACGTCCGCACTTAAGTGACTATGATTTAATGTTTGTAAATATTGTGCCACAAGCGTATGTGAGGTGCAGTGTTCTTGATGATGGGAAGAAGCAAAAACCATCTATGGACAGATTTCATTCTAAGATAGTTAATCGCATAGCAGTATAATCATAACTCATATTCCAGTCCATAACCGGTTCATCACTGTGCGCCATAACGTCATATCATATCATTAACCACCCCCGGAATCCCTCTACCGTCATGACAACGACCCGAACCAATAATTTAGTCGCAAGCCGACTTCGTCCCCAGCGAATCTTGAAGCTTCCCCTCCCACCAATCCTTCCACCGAACCACCTTCTCCTCCCTCCTCGCCTCTTCCGCCGCGAACACAACCGCATGACTCCTTACCGCTTCCTCCAGCGTACAGCCCACGAAGCACCTCTGCGCACGCTCAACCTCCCACCCCTGGTTAACCACCGCATCCACGGCACGGACAAAGCTTCTCGCCAGACCGTAGTCGCCCCCACCATGAGACTCCTTCTCTTCTGGCGGCTGCCGCGGCACCTCAATAGACTGGGTCGACCGGGTCGAGAAGCTGTAAATATGAATATTCCGCGAATCGTAAGAGATTTCACCCTGGGTACCGTAAACACGACCACGCCGTTCACACTGTTTCTCCGTCGGAGCGATCATATGGAATATGGCCGTTTTAGCAGTTCGGGGGTAATAGTCAGTGGTAGTTGTGGTAGAGTCAAGGGGTTCATCATCCCAGGTAAGAGTGACGACCTGGTCATCGCAGACATTGTTATCGGATTCGTAAACGCACCGACCGTACCAGGGCCTTGCTGCGATATCTTTATCCTCCGTTTCGGGAGAGTAATCTTCTTCCAGGCTACGGAGGAGATGGGCCTCTGCCGCTTTGATCTGTTCTTCCTCGGACAGAGAGGAGGAGCCCCGGATTACGTCCTCGATATCTGGACAGACGATGTTGACAGGCCATTCGTAGTCGGCCCTTGCGACGTGCATGTCGCGGTAGATCTTGATGGCGCTGTAATTGCAATCTTTCTCCGCAGGGCAAGAGACGCAGTTTGTTGCCGTGGCGGCGGCGCGAGGTTTTCTGGATTTGCGGAATTGGGTCAGGGAGCCGGCGGAGGTAATGGTGCGTGGGAGATGTGCTTGTTGGCGCTTGAGGTACTCCTGCTGTCGTTGTGCGGAGAGGTTGGCGTCTGCGGGGAGTGGTGGCGGGGAACAAAGGAGCCACAGGATGAAGTCGAGATCGTGGCAGGATTTGGTGAGCAGGGAACCGTCACCTTCGGGCGTTGCTCGTCGCCAATTACCGCGGACGTAGCTGTGTGCGAAGTGCCACCATCCAACTGGTTCGCAGTGTTCCATTGAGATGATGTCGCCAATGGCACGGTCCTCGAGAAGGAGCTTTCGGAGGAGGATGTTATGCGGACTGTATCGGAGGACATGGCCTATGGAGAAGATGGTCGATGGGGAAGAGGGGGGCGAGAAGCCCCCTGCATCCTTTGGTAGTAGCGCACGGTAGACTGTCAGACAGTCGGATAGTGAGAGGGCGAGCGGCTTCTCGCACAAAATGTGAAGTTCTAACGGGGCGATAGATTGTAGGATCTCAACGTGGGTTTCGTCCAGCGTGCAAATGAACACACCGTCTATTCCACCGGCAGTATGATTGGCCGCGGCAGCCACAGTAGACCTGCTCTGTGTTCGCCGCTTGATTTCCCATCGCAGCCAATCTCGCCAGTCTTCGAACTCCTGGCCGTCCTGTGGAGTACCGCTGCCACCCCAAATATAGTTGCGGCCAAATTCCCGTCGTTTGAAGGGATGTGGCTCAGCAATCGCGTGGATCACGCCTGAGGTGGTATTGGTGACGGCTCGGGCGTAGGCATTGCCTCGCGAACCAGCGCCGATGACGAGGAAACGAAGTGGTTTGGCGGAATGACGGTGAGGCGGGGAAGGGGAAGGGGAAGATAAGGAGCGATCGTGAGAAGTCGGGGGATTAGGCTCGCCCATGATGATGATCAGTCAAATAGAAGAGAAGGAGATACTAGTTGCTGGTGGTGAACATGGACATAGAGAAGGAGATAGTGAGGAGGGATGAGGAGAAGAGGGCAAGTTTCGATTCTTATACATCAAGTCGATAGCCGATATACTCCATGGAACGTCCCATCGCAACCCTGCCATGTCAGGTCACGCATGAATAGCCGAGTCCTGATTGGCCCAAGGGCCGCCTTGCGTGCCATCATTCATGCTCATCAGCTCGAAGAGAGAAAATAACTCCGTTCCGGATCCACCAAATCCAATCAGGGCCCCGTTCTCGATTAAAGAGCGCCCGGTACCTGAAATTAGGTGCAAATTACTAGATCCGGGGTCAGGAAAACATCCATTTGCCATTAAACGTTACATGAGCATTATCCGCACAAGATTTCCCCAAAATATGTACTTCACAGAAATTATTGTTATACGACAAGGAAAGAAAGTTTTATCAGCAACGCGCTGGGGTTCGACGAGGAACAGTGAACTCAATTCGGGGTATCCATATAAGAAATAGAGAGGAAGATGTACAACAGGATCAGGAACATGCCGGCCTGAGAAGGCTAAGAATCATTCCCGTTGCGAAGGTGGCATGTCCTGAAGGAAAAGAAAGAAAGTGCAAGCTCGCAGCGTATGTACAGAGCTAAAGCTCTTATGATATATATCCAGGCATTGGACAACGAAGGGGCGCTTGCAGTGGCTAAAGGAAAGACAATATTGAACAGGATCATATACTCTCGGTAAATCGGCTTCCGCGGCTACCATCAAAGCTTGGATGACTTCGACCCAGCACATCCGGTCGCTTGGGTATAGTGGGAGACAATGCTCCCTGCGCCAGAGGCACAATGCGCGATACGGAGGGTTCGTTAGATAAACTAGCGTCTGCAGAGCCAGGAATAGGTGTCCTGGCCGGGGAGGGCCGGAAAATCACAATGGGATTTGTTTCCTCGGCTTCCCTTGTATAACTTACGTCCAGTGGCATGCCATATGGGGTTGAGGGAGGCGGTTGAGAGGTAGGTGAGCGGGGAAGGACCGGTGAACCTGGCGGGAAGCTCACACTTGGCTCCGACATGGTCGGCGATCCTTCCGAGAAACCACCACCATATCCATCTCCCCCTGACTGTAGTACTGAGGGAATCTTCCGACCAGAAATCTTCTGGAATCCACGCTCGCTGGTGCTAGAATCTAAGGTGCTTTCTGTATGGGTAGAGAGGCGCGATTGTCTCCAACGTTTCATAAACGCTGGCGCAAAGTATGACGCCGTGAATAATGGATCATTGCTAGACCGTCGCGAAACCACATCAGCTGACCGTGTTACAGATCCTTCACCAACAGCAGTACCGGTCATATCACCGGGTGGAAGGACTTCAGGGGCACGATCTTGGTATGCTCTCCGTCTCCGGAGAAAGAGGAAAACTAAGAGCACCAAAGCCATAGCACCGGCTACACCACCAACGACACCGCCGGCAATTTTGCCCTTGGTTTGGCTATCGAGAGCGCCAGAGTCCTGGGAAGGAGAAATTGCCGCTGATGTAGTCGGTCCAGTAGTCAAAGGTGTCTGTTCGGTAGCTGTCGGTCCCGATCCCCCGTCCCAACCATATGAGGCACCGCCTCCAGTGCCAGAGGGCAACGAAGTTGTAGTAAGCTCAGATATAGTAGAGGTTGTAGTGGATGTAGAAGTTGACGAAGTCGTTGTTGTGCTGGAAGATGAGCTTGAACTAGAACTAGAGGTTGACGAAGTTTGGCTAGAACTGGAAGACGAAGAACTCGTCGTGGTGGAGACTATAGTGCTGGAGGTTGACTGAGGCGTCTCACTCGAGCTCGCAGGCGAGAGAGGTATTTGGGAAACGGAAGTATTGGAAGCAGAAGATATCACAGGAAGAGAAGTAGGCGAAGCCGAGGGATCATGACTAGCCGTCCCAGGGGTAGTATCGGTTGTGGGGGTAGGTGAAGCAGGAGAGGCAGTCAGAGTTTCTTCGGGAGAGGTAGTCGGGATAGCCGGTGAGCTTTGGTCAGTGGTGGTTTCAGACGCTGTAGGCTCGCTGATACCAGTTGTCGGTGAGGGCGTTACTACTGTGGCCTCAGATGTAGTCTGGGAGATATCAGTAGCGGCGATCGTGGCTTGCACCGAAACCTGGTCTTCCTGGGATATTGCGCCGTCCGTTTGGGACTGCGACCCATCCTGTGCTTGCCGCTTCATCATGCCTCTCGGGTCATTCACAACTGTCCCATGAGCTAAGGAGTGCCCGCTGTTCGTACGTCCCGTAACACCAGTAACAGCTGTTGATCGATTAGTTCTCTTCATCAATCTGCTATACCGAGTGTGCCTATTGCCATGATGGGCCATCCTGGTTCGGCCCCTGCTCCGAGCTGTACGAGTATGCTCTCAACTGAAACCACCCAGGAAGCTATTGAAGATTGAATATCAAAGAAGTGTCACGTAATGGGAATCGACACGAGACACCGTTGATGCGCAACACAGAGCGCGCGAGTTTTGAAGCTCCGTGTCGGAAGAAGATTTCAGGAAGAATGTAGTAGCGGTGCCTGCCAGGACGACACAAAGGTATTTGCGAAAGAAGCGAGTTTTGGAAAGAGCGCAAAGAATTAGAATATTAATCTGAATGAGCGAAGGCTGTGTTGGCTACAGAATGATAATGTCGGGGATTTATCGAAAGAACGACTAGCGGTCACAATGATGGCTTAGGCTTGCCCAAGCGTAGAAACCCCGCAAATAGCGGATGTCTTAAAATTCGTATGAACCAAGGAGCGGACGTCAGCTGCACCGAAGAGCTGACAATTTCAAGCGTAATGATGGGAAACCAATTCCGAAATGCATGGAAACCTGTGAAGAAGGTCAATCAGATAACCGTTTAGCCACCAGACCCGCTGAAAATATGAAGTATATCGTTTCAGAGGCCAAGAGCAGATAGCGAGAGATTATACGCAGGTCTCAGGATGATGCCGAGTCCATTTGACATCTGAGCTCGTACATACCTGTAAGGAATGAACGAAGAGAAGTGAAAAGCGAAAAGCAGGTGGAACTTTTGTGATTTTGATCCGTATTTTCTCCAGATCTTGAGAGCTCGTCCAGCTCTAATCCATAATTGCAGAGAGAATTGAATTGGAAGTTTCAACGGGGAGATGGACTGACAAGAGACTCATCAACGTTGGGTACCTCGAGAATCTGATCGCCGAAATTATTTCCGTTTCGCTTTTTCTCTGGTTGCGGGATCCACGTTGACACCGGACCCAGCCTTGTCTCTCGCTTGTTCCAAACCGTTCCGTGGTAGTATGTCACCTCGCGCGGTCCGGTATTTCCACCATCCGATTCAATGGTTCTAAGACTGCCCCCAAGGAAAATATTCCGTCCTCTGCCGCCAAAGGATCAAGGGAAAAGAAGGGGAGATAGGGGAGGGAGGAGAGAGAAGGGCGGGAGAAGGTGAAGAAGGAGAAGGAAGGTGAGGGGAGAGAAGGGAAAAGACGATGTGAATGAGACGGCAGAGAATCGATCAGGCCAGACCTAAGAATAACAACAACAGGTTCGGCTGAGGTCAGGTCTTAGACTTGCAGCGTCCACGAACTAGTCGTTACAATACGGGCATTACATTAGCATTGACCTTTCTCGAATACAACCGTTACTTCAACTCCAAGAATATCAGTCATCTAGCTTGTTGGGGATAGGAGCGTCGACTTCTGAAAGATAGTCCTGATCAATTTGCTCTATGTCGAGGAGATGAGCAAGCCTGGAGATTGCAATGAATGTCGGTATCCTTGTATATACTAGTAGTATCTTTGGGTACAGGCGTTCCGGTACTCCAAACACAATACCGACTTGATGCGTATGCATTGCGTACCCGAAATGACAGCCTTTCCACTTCGGGGATCAAGCGATGCCATTTTTACACTCGGGGAGTATCATTGGCTCGGCGCGGGAAAGCCAAGACTAAGTTTAATGAAACACTGATGGGAAAGTCTCACCTTCATTTAACTAGCATGCCTTGAGTGGATTACTAGCTTTAGTTTAATATATAATGCCGTCTGTCACCCTCTCATTAAAATCTGAAGGTCCCCTAAGATCAACGACCCATCCCCTCATCCACCACAGATCAAGCGCATGGAAGGGTTTGAGAGGGGGAGATCTGGGTGCAAGGCGGAAGAGTGATTAGCTGTGAATGTAACCTTGCTCTACAATCCGATGATCCGTTGAGGACAAAGCAAACCCTGCTACTAGTACACAAACTACCAAATTTTGAGTGACAGAAGTAGTAGGTCGGTAAGGTACCAACACCACCTCATGCCCGTAATACAACTTGGATACCAAATGAACGACCAGAACGTTCTAGCCAATATTGCATCGGTACGCCCCACGCGGCTTGGAATGTGTCACCTCAATCCATTTGTCCCGCTAGGCTCTTTTCAGTCTAACCTAGGACGATGGTGCATGATTACATCGGATTTTAATACTATGCCTAGTTCGAATTGATTGCCATTACTCGACTACGAACCTTGAAGGATCAAGAATAGGATCCCGACGCCGTATTGGCGACAGCCCGTACGACATGATATGCATATAATAATATCTCCTGGCAGTAAGGGGCCAAATTTACTAGTGTTTGGTCTCCGCCCCCAGTCCATCACATCTATCATGCTGCAAGGTACACCGTTCCTGGGTGAGATTATAGTTCACTTTTCCATGGCCATTTTCAAATTGTGTAACCCCATAGCCCTCCATTCGGACCCTGCGGTGTGGCCCCGGGAAACCGTGAGTTATCGACATTATTTTCAGACGAATTCGAAATCTTCGCAAATCCAATCATCCAGAAATGGGGTCAGTTCCGTCTCCGATCCACACTGCTATTTTTACATACCGCCGTGGCGTGTCCATCTCCCGTCTTGGAATGCCATCTCCGGAGTGGAAATTTCGAAGAATGTAGGACCTCCAGGCAACCCGATCCGTAGATTAATTCGCTCATTCGGCGGCCCTCGCACTTGAACCGAATGGCAGACTACCACAGGAGGAGAAGGTAGAGCTATAGAAGTAGAGAACAATTCTATTAGACTCTTGTCTGGAGCCTGACGGAAATTCAAATGTCCTATCGCCAAATGTCCACGAAACACAGCGCATGATTTTCTCGCTCTCCAGTTCGTGCCAGCTGCCAAGCTCTGTCTCTCTCTCTCTCTCTCCGACAAACTTGACCGAGGACCCAACTCAGGAGAGTAACAGGAAATCCAATCAAAACACGAGGGGTCAAAACCACCCACGCAACGCTAGCCATACTATGAGGGGGTATTAAAAACGGACAAACGTTTCTCAACCGGAATTTAGAATGTCTCCAGTTCATCCGCAGCACCCTCTTCAGCTGGGATCTCAAATCCTTCCTGTCCGATAGTTAGTCCTCCCGGTCCATATTCGTTTGAACGGCGTGGAAGTCTTTCATACCTCTGTCGAGTACAGAATGCCTTGAATGTGCTTCACCAACGAATCGTCTTCCTTCTCCAACTCGGGGTCTGCCTCGATGGCACTTTGCAGCAAAAGCTCAATGTCTCGGAGCTTAGCAAAATAGAAATCCCGCTCCTTCTCCAATCCGGCAATAGCTTCCTTCTGAGTCGCAATCTCTTGCTGCAAGACAGACACGTTAGGCCCACTTGCTGCAGCGACTCGTGGACGAGCTGCAGCAGTAGTAGGTGTAGCTCCCCGCCGTGTGGCTCCAGCCGAGGCTGCGCCTGCGCGAGAACCACTAGCAGCAGCAGCAGGACCGCCCGAAGCCTTCCGACGAGCAACGGCATCGTAATCACCACCAGGGAAGTGCTGGTCCCAGTATCGCTTCGTCCACTGCAGGAATTCAAGGTTGTCCTGCATGCGGCATTTGGTAAGTTGTTCCACGGGGACTGGCTTGTCTACCTGGTGGCGAGCAAACACGTCTGTCGAAAGGCTGTGTTAACAGGGATGATCTTTCCCCATTCAAACGAATCCACCCAGGAACGTACTTTGAAGGACCTTGAAATTTTGAAGATAGGCATACTCAGTATTGACGTTGAATCTCACACGGGACATGGGGACATCCACTAGAAAGCAGGAAGAAACTGTTAGTCCTACATAGCAAAGGGTACTAGGGGTAAGATGGCACACTCACTAAAGATTGAGTCAAAGACTTGACAGAGAGCCGCACTACACAAAATCACACGTCAGCCCATTCTAGCTATATGCGAACAAGATGCTGGGGCCACATTCCACGCCGTTGTGGTTCCGAATTTGCAAGGAAGTCAAGTCCGTCGCCCGGGTAAAGAAGCAGAATTATCCATAACGTGGAAGTTGAACGTACCCCGTGCCGCACTGCTCAACCTTGGTAAGGTTCAGCTGCAACAGGTTGTTAAGCCATGCCAGAAGCTCTTGCCTATTCATCTCACAAAGATTAGTTGCTGGCTTCCACACATAAGGGGCTTCTTTCACAGATTGTTTTGAAAGGGGGTTTCCAACGAACCTAGATTCGCCCATGGTGGGGTATATGGTCCTGGTTTTGAGTTCGGTTGGGATAGCGGGAAGAGCTTCTGGGGGTACAATGAATTAAGGGAGTGTGAGAGGAAACAAAGAAGTCGTATAGATGGGCGTTTCCGCAGGTACGTGAGAGTTTGTTCTTGGTTAGAAAATTGAGACAATAAACGATGGGAGGACTGTTTTGTTGCTGTCGACAAAACCCACGGGACCGCCATGACGCTAAGGGGGATCTTGGCCAATCACAAGGCCCCCTGCCCCTTTCCGTAAAAAAGTATCGATTCCTCAGGCAATTATTTGATGGATACCTGCCCAAGTAGGCAGTTATTGATCGACGCGGCGCCCGACAGCACAGCGATCACGACGAGTATACCCTGTATCGCAGTACGAGGTCTACCATCACAAGGCAATAACTACAACTACTGTGGATGTTTTCAAGCAGGCAGACTGATGTGAGAAAGCAAAGTAAAAACCTTTTAAGTTCAACGCTCTATCGCTAGCCAATGTGTATCCCAAAAATTATATCCAAAAAGGTGCAAAGAAAAAGCGCAAATAGCACAAAGCAGGTTTCCGCAGGAAGAGAAGAAGACCCCGAATGAGTACCCGTATAAACTCCCTGAAACCGAAACTTTTCCTGTAATGGAACAGATAAAGAGCAAATATCCGTCTAGAGCTTTGTCCCATCTATTCCCCTAGCAATTCAATGCCATCTAGTCCATAACCAAAGTCCATGATGACTGCTCGAGAATCCTGGCTCGTGGCCAGGATGCGTCGATAGTCTGACTTCACACTCAACATCCAACTGGTGGTCCAGCCGGGTAGGTCAATCGACAACTCCCCGGTCTGCGCATCAAAAACCTTAACACTCATATCGTAACTTCCACTGACAATCCGCTGCCCCGCACTGTCCAGATGCAGAGACCGGACTAACCCTTCGTGACCTTTCAGCTCATTGACCATGTCACCGGTGTTTGCATCAAACTGATATATAACTTGATCATTACCGCCAGTGAGGATAGTCCTAGCATCTTCACTAAACTCAACGCATGCAAGTCCGCGGTCTTTACTGTGAAATTCCTTGACACAGTGACCAGAAGTGATGTTCCACAATTTGGCGACGCCATCTCCGCTCGCAGAGACAATCAAGTCGCCACGTAGCTGAACTGCGTTGACAGGGCCCCTGTGTCCGACAAGCCTTTGAAGGAGAGCTCCAGTATGCCGATCCCACACACAGATGGTGGTATCCTTTGAGCAAGAAACAATATAACGGTCATCAAAGCACACATCTAGCACACCTGCCCGGTGGCCTTCCAGGCGGCGAATAGGCTGATAATCATTGTGGATGTCCCAAACAATGCAAGTATAGTCAGATGACCCCGTAACCATGATCTCCTCATCGAATTGGAGGCAAAGGATGGATGCACTATGGTATTCTGAAGCTTGTTCAACCGGGGTGGTAATCCCAGCGGAGAGCGTCGGCGGGGGGCAAATTGTAAGAAAAGGTGGCTTTCCAGATGACTGCTGGGACATGTTATTGACAGGCCCAATACCGGCGATATCTCCCGGAGGAGGTCCGATAATCTTGCGGCATGGCCAAGGATAATGAGCATCCCACACTCTGATGGTTCGATCACGAGATCCAGTAATGATTTTGTCCCTGTAGGCGGTTAGTTGGTGGCAATGATTTGCTTGCTGAATGACATACTCATCGAACTGTGCACAATACACGCTGTCTTTATGTCCGTGGAGATAAATAGCAGCAGCCTTGCCTTCCTTCCACCGCTGCTCCAGTGCACGGCGGACAAGGAACATTCTCTTCCAGTCTTGGTCTGGGAGAGATTTTCCTAAACCAGCAGATCGTTTTTTCTTCGAGATGCCGACAGGGCGACTATGTCCATAGGTGTGACGGAACACATGTCTCCAAATATGCCGGGAGGATGCCTGCTCACTCCAAGCGTGAGAGACCGATTCGCATTGCATGAGAGACTGGGGGTCGAGATAAGTAAAGATATGGGACATGACCTCTGGCGGTAGATGAGTCACCGGATCTAAGCGCAGAAAGGCCAGATCCGTATCGGAGAGTTCGGAACGGTCACGCAGATCGATACCAATACCGCTCTCCGAATCTCTCGTCAGTCCCGAGTCGGAGTACTTTACACCATCTCTCTCGGACCTGAACAGCTCGTTCTGGGCCGCCGCGGCCGCCCGAGCGGCCGCGCCTGCATAGATATCATTCGGAAAAACGGGGGGCTCCGAGCCATTGCCTGGGATCGGAGCACGCATAGGCGCAGTTGGTGCGTGGAAACCGTGCAGCGCCGATACGCTGTGATGAGACAATCGGCGATCGATACTGGCACCCTTGCACCATGAGTGCCTATTTCTAGGCGTAAATTCCGGCTCATGGTTCAAGTCGCCCAGGTCATCTTGATGGTGGTGAGCCGAATGCCTGGAAGACTTATTCCGGATCGTGACCGACAAGCGGCGGCCGAGCGCGCGCAAGCCATCAACAGGATGGCGTAAACTGGAGAAGCTTCTCGCTTCTCGACGCCTAGGGACAGGCTCAGGAAAATGATTCATTTCCTCCAACACCTGCCCTTCATCATCGGCTGCATCGACAGCTGACCCTCCACCCCATACGTCGGTTTCTAAACGGGTTGTCTGATGGGTCGATGTGGTAGCTGTCCGAGGTCGAGGTCTGAAGGAGAGGGAAGGACGTCGCCGGGAGGGAAGTGTCACAGCCTCACGTGGGGACATGGTGTCGTGAATCGAATATAGAGAGATAATGCAAGATGATCGGAGATTCCGCAGATCGACTATATACTGACACAAGAGGGCCCCTTTCGCCAGCCCTGAGACACAAATCCAGGGAACAGCAAGGGACAAATGTGAGAGCGTGGATAGAGTATGCAGCGAAATGTCCGTCGGTTCTCTAGCGGTAACAGACAAATTATGGGTAGGCTTGAATAATGTAGGCAAGGGAAACAAAAAAAAAATAAAAATAAAGGGTCCGCTTAAACAAGTAACTCCTGATAAGAAACACCGACCACCCAGGACAGATAAAGAATGAGAGAAAGGATGCCTACCACAAAAAGAAAGGACAGGACAGGAGGGTGATAATCTAATACAAATCAATCCAAGAAATCAGAATACAAAGAGAGAGAGAGAGAGAGAAAAAATAAAAAAAAGGGAAAGCTGACAAGAGGTAAAAAAAAGAACTTAACATCAGGAGGGAGAAAAAGGGAGAAAAGCTACTTATCAGCAGGGCGGTGAGAGGCCCCCAAAAGAAAAGAATTTGCCCCCCAGTCCGATGGGCCCCGGTGAGTGGTCGCGCATTTCCCACCGGAAGGCAAATTATTGGGCGTCATTGGAGGCGAACAAAAATTAATTCGTCCAAAGAAGAGAAGAAGAAAAAGTTAATCAATGTCAATGTACTCTGTACCACACAAAGCCTTTGGACCGTTTCTGCCCCTGGATTTCCGTGTTATGGCGGAGGAACTTTTAATGGGGAAATGAAAAATATTCAGGAAAAAAGTTTCTTTCTTCCAAAATGAATTTATTTCTTTTTTTCATGTTTTTTATTTTGTTGACCTTTCAAAAAGATCAAAGTCCAACTCAAATAGCAATGCCTTGCTTAAACAACAACAAAAAAGAGTTACTATTTCGGGGCACCAACTCATTCCGACAAGTCAGCCCAACTGACCCTTCTTGGGAACAAATGCATTATGCTGGATGCATTCATGGTCGTAGTAAGCAAGGTGTCAATTGAGTTGATAACACAAACAGAACAATCTCCTGTCTATAGTTGATTCTATGGAAACATTTAACGCTGGATAGACTGTATAGAAAGACTCCCTTTTAAAGAAAACGTTGAAGATCGGCTCCATCGTGAATCTAGGCCGGTGCAAGAAATCTGCCTCCCGCCCCCGTGGGGTTTCGCAAATCTCACGATGATCCACCCGTGTCGGTCTTGGGCACCTGCGTAGTCCGTGTGTGCTGTCGCTGTCAACCGATCATCGGAATCTTTCGTTGTCCCCCGAGATTTCAGGCGGGAAAGAGTAATCAAACCTAATCTCGAAAAAAATTCTCCTTTCTCTTGAATATGGATTCAAATGTATTTTTAGTTATAATTATACTTCACATGCAAACTCCTAGAGAGATGTATATGTATATATATATATATTCTCTTATTAACTTAGTCTACGAGAGTTGTTCCTCGAGCGTGGTTTTAGAATGAAGGTCTACATAAGTATGTCTCCCCCAGTTTCAAACAGGATAATAGCGGGAAAAAAAATTGCGAGTAGAAAACGAACTAAAACAAAATGGAAAAATAAAATAAGATAAATTTCCCTTTATACCTAAGAAAGGGCCTAATAAGAACAAGGTATGGTTGAGGACTGAAGTAGTAAGGACCTTGAGGATTGCTTATAATTACTTCTACCCCCACCTCCAGTTTATACACAGACGAGTGTTTCCCCCTCCTTCTTTTCTGCTTTCGCCTTTAGAAAAGTCATAATTTTTGGTATTCTTCTTTACTATCCCTATCATACTTTACAACCTTCAGTTTGGCTCAACCAAACACCTTGTCGTACCCGGTCATTGTAAAACGATAATGAACATCTCCCTTCTTCATTCGAACCATGGCTTCCTTGAGTCCCTCCTCACCAATCTGCAGCTCCTCAACCCATCCCCGTAGACCCTTGTCTGCTGCCAACTTGAGCATCTCCAGCATTTCCCGCCGACTACCCAAGTGGCTAGCTCCAATTAAGACTCCGTTCGCGATCAGGTTCTGTGCCTTGATAACCTGGCCTTCTTCCTCGGGAAGTCCGACGCTGATCCAGCGACCATGGACGTCCATGAGGGACAAATATTTGGCCAGATCAAAGCCCTGCGAAGAGCTGGCGCAGTTGATGATCAGATCAAACGAGCACAGGTGATCCTTCTCCCAACCTTCCTCCGCCGTAGCAATGTATCCATCCGCTCCCAACTTTCGTGCATCCACCTCCTTGGCGCGAGACCGGGAAATAGCCAGGTTTCCGCCCCAAGGGCTTTGGCAAACATGATTCCAAAGTGACCAATTCCACCCAAACCCACAATTCCCACCTTCTTGCCAGGTCCGGCGCCGTTACGGACCAGCGGTGAATATGCGGTCAGACCGGCACATAGCATGGGGGCGACAAGGTTTGTTTCGAGTTGTTCGGGGATAGGGAATACCCAGTGTTCGTGAGTGCGCACATGCGATGAGTACCCACCTTGGCTGACGATGCCAGTCTGCGGCCACTCAGAGCCGTAGGTATCCATCATGAGGACGGGGCAGTAGGTCTCGTTGTCGTTCTTGCATTGCTTGCACTCGCCGCAGGAATATGACTGGGCGCCAACACCGACGCGCTGACCTTCTTGGATCAATGTGACTTTTGGTCCGACGCGAATCGCTCTGCCGATGATTTCTACCGGAAGTAATCTCGTTAATAGGCTCCACGATGCCGAAAGCTGGAAAGGACGGCACTTACCATGACCAACGCAAAGAGGGAATTTCTGAGCTCCCCAACCACCTAACATATATCATACTATGTCAGCTACCGCTAGAGTCGTCAAAGGGAATATTGTGCGTTGATGGGGAGCATACCGCTGATAGTGTGCAGATCACTCCCGCAGACACCACAAGCCTCGATCTTGATGTCAACGTCTACGGATTTGTCAGTGATATCATTTCAGATGTGTCAGAAACGACCCCAACATACCATAGTCGCCAAACGGCTTCAACTTGAACTGCACGCGACGGCATCATTAGTCTTCTAGCGACAAAAGCTGAGGAGAGGAAGAGTCTGGACGTACGAATCGTTTGTTGAAGTTGGTATGAGTTTCAGGGCTATCGACCTGGAAACCCTCAGCTTCCTCGGGATAAGGCATATTGTCGAATAATACAGATAATGGTTGGAGGAAAACAACTGTCGATGTAAGGACTGGGGTAGCTGGAGTAGGGATAGTGAAGGGAAGAAGAAAAGAAAAACGCCTTCCGCCAGGGCGAAGCCGACCTTTATAATTTGATCGCCACGCCAACAAACTAACAGGGTTGCGGAGCCATCCATTTACTGCCCGTGTTTGCAGTCACAGTGGGTATTCTCTCCCCCAAGCAGTTGGAAGGACTGGGCACACGGTGACTCCGTGAATCTGATTGCATTCCCAGTTTCAATTTCATTCCACACAACAGATTAAGCGCCTTACATGCGACTATTGTACAATTGATACTTGTGGGGTTGAAGCGAGGAATCCTATACAGCTTTGTATACATCGAGCGACCCCGCGCCATAAAGCTCGCTCCAAGCATTTCGATGTCTATGGATAATTGATCTCTCAGACTGCAACATACTATACGCTACATTGTGTTGTACACAGGATTTGAATTATTCTCGAGAATATAGAGCATCGTATGTGAATTTCCTTACCCCTAGGTGTGTTTGTCTCTGTTTTTCTTTCTTTTTTTTTTACCCCTCATCAGTGTTATCAAGTTCATCTGACACCCTCACCAAGAGCACCCACAAGATCCAACTGTACTAGTAGTGTCACCTCAGCCCGCTAAAGTTTGTCCACCAGTGAGAGGTCAAATCGATGAAAATTGGCGTGGGGGCACTTCGGTTTCCCAAGGAAGCAGGTTCGGCAATCTGTGCGAAGTCCGTTCGGTACGTTCTCTCCCGATTCAGGAACCGCGACGAAGCGCAATATTATACTCCATGACTGCTTTACCGGGCCAACCCTAGACTTTTACAGGGTTTTGTAGCATTAATAGTTCGTGATGTGGGTTTTACCAGCTACAACTGAGCATTTTACTAGACAAATCTTCTAACCAGCAAACGTGTTTTTTTTAAAGAAAAATAGCAGAAAGGTATGTACAGGAGAGGGTATTTATGCAATATCAGGCAACGACCGCTCCACCTCCATAGCTTCTTTGATTTTATCAGCTACCTCTTGCGTCTTAGCCTCGCTCAGCCGTCCCAGGGGCCGGCGAGGATAGCCTCCGTAGCCATAATACGATTGGATGGCACCCTTGGTACCCGGGATGGCAGCCTTAGTGAGTACCCAATCGGCAGTACTCAGAAGCTGTTGAGCTTCCATGGCCTCTGTAAAGCGACCAGCGCTCCAAAGGTTGAAAATCTGCACACACAAACGGGGAAGGACATTGGCACCACCGGCCAGAATGGCGGAACCACCAGAGGCCAAGGTCTGCAGAGTAAAGTCTGCAATGCCACCAAAGGCCACATAAGGATGGTTTTCGGCTTTCTTGGTCGAGACATTCTTGTGCTTGGGAGCCAGAGGCGATTCAGGGGCGATGGCATTGAGGGCGGTAGCGACACGGGTCAATTTGCCTGTGTTGGCGCAGGTGAACTTAGTACCCACGATGTTAGGGTGTTGCGAGATGCGGATGATCAGGTCTGAGTCCATGTCGATCCCGGACACAGCACCGGGGTAGTTATAAAGGATCAATGGCAGAGGAGAACCATCTGCCACTGCAGTGAAATACTCGTACAGGGTCTCATCGTTGCCAACAGCGTAGCGGTAGTAGCTTGGGGGAACTATGAGAGCATATTCCGCACCGGCTTCAGCGGATTCTTTGCACAGGTCAATTGTGCCGCGGATGCTCTGCTCGCTGGCTCCAGTGATGACAGGAACGTTGGAGAAGCCAGCCTCCACAAGCGCAGATCGTGTCTCACGAATGACGGTCTTGCGCTCCTCGCGGGTTAGGTGAACTGCTTCTCCGTTGGAGCCCATAGTGACCAGACCGACCAGGCCAGCCTTGGCAAGGCGGACAGCATGACGACGGATGGTAGGAGTGTCAAGCTCTTCAGTGTCAGGGTTGAAAAAGGTCATGGTAGGAGCGTAAACTCCGGGACGGAGGGGAGTACGGGACGCCATCTTGATGCTATTTGTCTGCCAGATATTAGTACTGAATGGTATGATGGTATACATCGTGTCGGAGTACAGGTAGCAACTATAGAGCATCTATGAATATTGAATGCTTACCTGATAAATTCTGTGTCTGCGTTTCAAGTCACAGCGAACCAATTGGAGCAGAATAGAACCAAGACCAAGTCTGAGTGATCAGGACTCCAGTGATAGCTATATACCAACGCCATCTCCAGGCACCGGGTAATTGCCCCTGTGTTTACCCCGCGATGCAGCACATGATTCCATGATTTCTGGATCATTTGCCCATCCCACTCCCCCACTACCCCACTTTCCTAATCCACTTCAAGGGCCCACTCCCGCTTCGGCTTTTTGACCGGCGAGATATTTATCCACCAATGATGGCCACCCTGTCTGCTCGTGGAATTACACCCAATCGGATTGTACAATCAGCTCGGGGAATCAAAGACCGAATAGGTTAACCGTCATGGCATCACAGCGAAACCGATAACAGAACATGGCAAGACTGTGGTAGCGAGTATAAATTCCAAGAAAGCCTCAACCCAGTCACTAGGTCCAAGCAAATACAATGGCAATGCAAGGAAGAATTATCCTCTAACTTTGCGTGTTAACATAAAAAACAGAACATATGGACAAGGTCCTCGTATAATAATAAATGCACAAATCAAGTGCCGCATCGGCTAATGACGTTCCCCAAACGGGCAATCTGGTGGGATGGAGATTCTTCCGTCATCTGGTCGCCTGAGGGAATTACAAAACTCGTGGATGCTCGGTCAAAATGACTAGGACGTTGTCTTCTATTTCTTCTTCCTTTCCTCTCTCAGTTTCACTCCCTCTTCCGCCTCTCTACCCCGCCACCCGTGAGGTTAGAAGACTGTAGTTCCCTCAAAGCAGGTCAGAATCGAATACCGCAAGTGCAAAATGGCTCCTCCAAGTGTATTGATGGTAAGTCGCATCCATTGACCTGTAACCACCTATATTACAGAATTGAACGGCTAACCATAGCCATTCTCAGGTGGGTACGGGCGAGTACACCACAGGCTATGTCGGCGGCACAGCTTCAACATCCGACAAAAAGGTCGGCGTAGTAGGCCTGACGCTCTTCGACCTGCGCCGACGAGGTAAAGTCGGCAACCTGAGCATGGTAGGAGTGTCTGGACGCAAATTCCCCGGAATCCGTAAGTTGCCCCCCAAACAAGCATGCTATATACATCGCATTCTCACAATATCCAAAAAGGCTCCCACCTCCAAAGGAACATCTCCGAAGTCTACAACGGCCTCGATGTCTCCTTCGCCTCCTACCCAGCGGACGATCAAACCGACCCAGACGCCTACAAGGCCGCCATTGATGCCCTCGAGCCCGGCTCAGCAATCACAATCTTCACCCCCGACCCAACCCACTTCCCCATCGCCCTCTATGCCATCCAACGCAAGATCCACGTCCTGATCACCAAGCCCGCAACCCAGCTGCTCTCCGACCACCTCACGCTCCTTGAAGAAGCCCGCAAGCACGGCGTCTTCGTCTTCATCGAGCACCACAAGCGCTTCGACCCGGCGTACTCCGACGCGCGCGCGAAGGCCCGCAACTTGGGCGACTTCAACTACTTCTACAGTTACATGAGCCAGCCTAAGAGCCAGCTGGAGACGTTCAAGGCCTGGGCCGGCAAGGACAGCGATATCTCGTACTATTTGAACTCGCACCATATCGATATCAACGAGAGCATGGTGCCTGAGTATGCGCCAGTGAAGGTCACGGCGTCGGCATCCAAGGGCACGGCGCTGGATTTGGGCTGCGTAAATGAGACGGAGGATACGATTACGTTGTTGGTAGAGTGGAGGAAGAAGAGTGATCCGTCGCGTGTTGCGACGGGCGTTTATACTGCTTCCTGGACGGCGCCGCAGAGGGCGGGTGTGCATTCGAACCAGTATTTCCATTGTATGTTTTAGCCTTTTGTCCTTTTTCTTCTTCTCTTTCCTGGATTGTGCTAACTGGGGCTATAGATATGGGCTCTAAGGGTGAGGTTCGCATTAACCAGGCCAAGCGTGGCTACGATGTCACAGAGGATGAGCAGGGTTTGATCTGGCTGAACCCGTGAGTATTCCATGCCTGTCTCCAGATTGCCGAGGGCAAGCCATCGCTAACAAAGGGGAATTCGTATAGATTCTATATGCGCTACGCACCAGACGAGGACGGCAACTTCAGCGGCCAAACTGGCTACGGGTACATTAGCTTCGAGAAGTTCATTGACGCTGTCACGGCAGTCAATGAGGGTCGGGTTACTCTGGATCAGCTCGATGCCAGACCACTTCCGACACTCAAGAATACAATTGCGACGACGGCTATTCTGCATGCGGGACGGGTCTCGCTGGATGAGAGGCGGCCCGTCGAGATCGTGAACGAGGGCGATAAGTGGGAGTTGAAGTGATCTGATCTTCTGAGCCTTGTGCCAGGATTTTGTATGTGATAGATGTATCCATGAAAGTTAATGATGGTTAAATATTCCTCTTACTGCAAGATCTGTCTGTAGACATAGAAGGAAAAAAGAAGGATTGTAACAAGTCAGAAGATATTATCCCCGGGGAAGCGCAAGTGTAACAGGACAACTGCAAATTGGCATCCGTAGATGAGAGCAACACAATAAGTGAAAACACCCAACCTCAATTAATGCGTTAGAATGAAGAAAGCCAACTCCAAACTCCACCGTCCACCACTTCGCCATGCCGCGAAACTATCAATCAATATCAATTAGTACAAGGTACAGAATTCCCAAATAACGCTGCGATGTCGTGATCTCATGAACTCAAGAAGAGTAGGCGGTAGATCGAGTGCTATCTTCCCAGAAATACACCATGATGATAATGGAATAAACTATCGACGGAGACCGATCTTGACAATGCCATCGGTCCCCTTGTTGAACCTCACGCGACACTCCGGACAGTACCATTTGGCAGTTCGACTGGGAACTTCAGAGAGACCGACGCAGTCA